AGGCAGGCTAAAATGCAGATGTTGTAGAAGGAAGAAGTGACTGGCATAGCAGCAAGAGCTGCTCACGTAGCCCAGCAGCACCCATCCAGCTCACATCAGGATGCAAGGCAGCAGCACAGTCCTCCTTGGAGAGACTCTTCCCCTGAGCATCCAGCACAGGCAGTAGCCATCGGAGGCAGGATGCCAGAGCAACCCCAAAGCCTGTTCATTTCCACAGCATCCACGTGCATAGGCAGCATTACCTCTTTCCTCAGGCCTGAGCCTGACACCGGTACTGACACCAGTGGGTGATCTGAGAGATCAGTGCTGCCTCAATATGCTGTGATCACTGTGGTTCATCAGGGTGTGGGCTTTATTTTAAACTTCTCCTTAACATCAGAGGTTGCACTCTGGCCCTGTCTCATGGGCCAGCAGTGTTCCCAGGTGGCCAAGGCCAATGGCATCCTGGCTTGTATCAGAAGTAGTGCAGCCAGCAGGAGCAGGGAGGTGATCATCCCCCTGGTACAGCCCTGGTGAGGCCATACTTCAAGTACTGTGTTCAGTTATGGGCCCCTCGCTACAGGAAAGACATTGAGGCTCTGGAATGTGTCCAGAGAAGGGCAATGAAGCTGATGAGGGGTCTGGAGCACAAGTCTTATGAGGAGCAACTGAGGGAACCAGGATTATTCAGTCTGGAGAAGAGGAGGCTCAGGGGAGACCTTGTTCTCTACAGTTGCCTGAAGGGAGGTCACAGAGAGATGGGGATTGGCCCCTTCTCCCAGGTAACCAGCAGTAGGATGAGAGGTAATGGCTTTTAGTTGCACCAGGGAGATTCAGGTTGGATATTAGGAAACATTTATTCTCAGAAAGAATGTTGAGACATTGGCTGCCCAGGGATGTGGTGGATACTGTCCCTGGAGGTGTTCAAGAAACTTGTAGGTGTGGCACTGAGGGACACAAGTTAGTGGGCATGGGGGGATGGGTCACAGTTTCGTCTAGGTGATCTTAGTGGTCTTTTCCAACCTTCCTGATTCTATGATTCTGTGATTCTATGTCCCAGCAGTGCTGCTGCCAAAGGCAGAAGGGGATAATTAAAATTGTACTCAGTGGCATACAGAGGCATTCAGAATTCCTTGAAAGTGGAGTTGATCAGAGCAGTGGTTTTATCTGATCTTTGATCTGTTTCACAAATAAAGCCCTCTGGATGTGACTGGAGAGGGCTCATGCTGTGAGTTGAGATTTTTATAATCACAGGTGTCTGGAAGTGCTTGTCAGCCTGATTTGTGCCTTTTTTCCAGTCTAATGTATAATACAATTAAATTATAGTTCTTGTGTTATAAGGGAGACCTCACAGGTTTCTTGGGAGAGGATGCTAAGCTCTGGGGCTACCTTTTTTTGTCTCTCAAAGAATTTTTCTAATTTCTATTCTTAAGACATTTAATTTGATAATTACCCACAGAAGAAGAAAATCAATTCATACAAGTCTTGGATAACAACACTTCATGGAGACATCTTGTGCTCTTTCTCCTCTGTATGTAACTGCAGTTTAGTAACGTGTTTGCCTGTAATGCCACTGCTGAAGCTCTGGCCTGTTTCTATAAGATTCATAGCATGTAGAACCTTCCCTTGTACCTTAGGATCTGGTTACTTTTGGGGATGATTCAGTTTTTGTTTACGCAGGTGTTCCCAAAATTAGAAGCCAGCAACAGAAAAAAATATGATGAAACAAAAATCCGTAAATTGAGGAACCTCTTTCGCAATGCTGAATCTCTCAGAGCCCAGCCTGTGCCCAGTGGTATTTCCACAACCATCAACCAGCTGTTCCTTCAGCTCACTGCTGCTGCTAGCGCTGCAGAAACAAGCTGCCAGGAGCTCTTCAGCTTAACCACGGGGTTATTTACCGCTGCGCTGGGGATACCATAGATAAAATCCCTGTGGTCCTGGGATAGACTTGGTGGAGAAGGTAAGGCTGATACAGCTTCCAGTTCACCACTAGCAAGGATATTCCTGTCACCAGGTAGGACCTGTACTGCTGCAACACTCACACTTCATCACTGCCATCACTACAATCCTTACTTCCTGTGGGCAAGCAAGAGCTGCTCACCCTTCTTGGATCAGGGAAGAAAACTTGAGAGAATGAAGGCAGAATTAGGGTGTCTGTTTATTTATGTTGCCAGAGCCCATGCCTTTTCTGTTCATAGAGAGAGAAGCTGTCACAGAAATGACATGAAGTAGGTGCTGAGATGTGACTACCAGTAAAACGCATCTTTGGTAGTCCAGAGTGGTTGGCCAGTATTGATGAGTGACATAAGATTATTTCGTAACTCAGTTCTCATTAAAACTGGTTGGGTTTTTTTCAGTCCTTAGCAGAACAGATGAGATTGGAAATGTTTCACATAATCACAGCTTTTACTGAGATATAACAGAATTATTAAGCACCTTCAATGTTTTTCAACTTCATTTGAATCACATAAAACATCAAAACACTGGCATCTAAGCAAAGGGCTTCAATGATCTTGTTTTGGTGTTTATACTAAGTTTCAATTGGAGTGAAAGGAAGTTTTAAATAATCAAATTTCCCAAGAAAATGTGAGTTCTGAGATTTCAACAACCTCAAGCCTCCTTGTGCAAGCCTGGAGAAGCGCGGTGATGCTGCTGGCAGGCACATCTCTGCCTGCAGTAATTGAGGGCAGCCAGCCTAGCCAGCCTGCTGCAAAGGGAATTCCCATGCACATCCCATCAGATGCTCCTGGTCCTCTTCCAGAAAACACTGATTGAAATGCAGAGGACTTCCCCAGCATTCAAGTAACCTTGGCATTTCTCTGACAAGTGGCTAGGCCTTACCTCCATCATGCAGAGAGAAAAACAAAAGGTGGCTATGCAAGTATGTACTCTTTTCCATTGAAGTAAGCATGGATGTTGTAGAAATAAGAGTTCTTTCTTATATCACATTAGCACATTAATTTCTACACCAGCAGCAATCTTTTTCATTTCTTGAGGAGTGTCCTGAGTAGAAGTGGGTGTCAGAGTGGATATCAGACTACTAACTAGCAACATAAAATGCATTTTTATAGAGAATAACATCTTCTTTATTTACATGTTGGTAGAAAAGATACCTAAATATTAAGAACAAGATCCAGCAAATGCACTCCGTACTAAACCCATTGGAGGCCACTGGCTCTTGGCACCTGTTACCAGTCCTGAGCTCGTGCCTTCCAGGGCGAGCTGTGCACTGCTGCATAGCACCCACACATCTCTTCTGCTTACCTGAGAGCTGGAAAGTACAGATAGCACTTGTCCTCAGTTGTTCCACACTTTAAATTGCTTCTGGGCTCCAGACTTGCAGTTTGCTGAGCTATTTGAACCAAATGGGAGCAGCTGGAATACTGAAATGTTGGCTGAAAACAAAAATGGAAACAAGGGGATTTTCAGAGCAGCTTTAGGGTCTGAAAACTACTGCTGCCATTCTGTTTGCACTACAGAAATGTTGGCAGCCTGGATACGATCCTGTTTGAGGCAGAGGGAAGGCATTTCAGTGTAAGCAGCAGGCTGTTCTCTTTAAGCAGTACAACACCTTTCAGATGCTGCTTCTGGGAAGGACAGACTAAGTGGAGGGAGAGAGAAGAGCCTTTCTGTAGCATCACCCCTAGGTCCCCATGATGTGTCAGCAGGAAGCTGTTGCTGTGAGTATATCTTCCAAGTGGCCCACACTGCACAACGTAGACTGGTAGAATCATTAAGGTTGGAAAAGACCTCTACGGTCATCTAGTCCAACCGAGCTGAGCTGTCCCAGAGGCTACCACTGTGAACCAGCAGAACTGGAGCTAATGTGGGGATGTTGAGGCATCTGGGGTTAGAAGAGGCTCTAAGGACAAGCGTAGTGAATGAGTGCAAATGCCGTGATGAGACGGGCACACCACTGACTTCTCTCCAAGGCACAATGCAGCAGGGTGTTCCAGTCATGATCCCATGAAGAAACGAGATAATGCATCTTTAGCACAGATGCTGGATTCTGCAGTGACCTGAAATCTTCTGGAGAGAGACTTGTCACTCCTTTAATTGTGTTCAAATATGCAAAGGTAGACTGAAAATACCATTAGCAAGTCAGCAATTAATTAACTGTTTTTCTATAAATAGGGAAGGTAACATTCATTTTCTTCTGTCTGGTGGCTAGACCTCATCAGGAGAAAGAATTGGGATATGGAAGGGTGCCCCTGCTCTCAGATCTCACTGCTTAGTCCCTTTGGGAGTACAGAAGTGAAAGACAGACCGAGATGTCAGAAAATCAGAGAAAGGAAGCCGTTGTAACACTGACTGAAGGTCTTTTAACATTGACTGAGCAGCAGAGTGAGGAACCACTATAAAATATTCAACAAATCATTTAAATTTGAATTGAGGGAACTCGATTGCTCCATTATGAATTTTAAGTGGAGAAAGAATTCCTTGAAGAAAGACGGAAAAAACAGTTCTTGATCTAACGAGAATATTTTTTTCCCAGGAAAATTGAAGAGTGTTAAATATGTTGGTAAAACCAAGAGGATACCAAGGGATTCTCCTGTTTCTGTAAGCAGTGTATTGGGAATCCAGAAATAACATCCCCAGGACATCATTCGGTGCAGGAAGTCATCGACCCTCGAAAGAGGAGCGGATTGAGCCTGAGAGCTGGCTGCCTGGGTCTGCTCCAAGGCTTTCAGCACTGCTTGGCTGGGCACAGAGGTGCACAGTTGCACGGCTAATTACTTCCATTGCATATGGAAATCAGGAGAGGGGAAAATGATCATTATAATCCATTTGAGCATATGGTTACCTGCTTTCGGTGTGTGGCTGCAGTGCCATGTTTGTGATTTCACTTTCAGCTAAACAACATTGCGCTTACCATACGAGGGTTATTACAGACCAGGCTTAAAGAAAGAGCCTTAAAGCACACTTAATAACGTGGCTGGAGTTTTAAGAGATTCTGGTTGATATTTGCAAATCAATATGTCAGACATGCTGTCAGAAGCTGGTAGTCTAAAAATATGTTGACCAAACACCATTTGAATTGATCAGTACTTGCTGTACTTGATCTGTTCTTGCTCAAGGGAAGACAAGAGATGTTTGAAAGATCAGGTTTATTTAGGCATTGTGTTTGGAAGGGCAGTGAAGGCCCTTAGAGTATGATTACTTTTTTTGTTCTGTGTTTGTTTGTTGGTTGGTTTGGGTTTGTTTTGTTTTGGGTTTTTTTGTTTGGTTTTTTTTTTTCTGCAATTTTCAAGTCATTTTGAATATCTTAAAGTCTCCATGGGCTGTCCTGACAATCTGGGCTCTGAGGGGTCTCCAGCTCCTCACTGAGGACAGGGAAAGGCAGTCATGCCGAACAGTCGACAGCATTCAGAAAGGCACATTTGACTTTCCCTCAACTCTCCTTTTACATTTTAAGAGCAAAGTTCTCAGCTTCATGGGTGTCAGGAAGATCCTGAAAGGCAGGCAACATAAAAGCCCCTGAAACAAAGAAACAAAGAACCTAAATTGTGTTTGACTTAGCTGAGTTGGAATGCTATTGCTTTTATTATCACAGTGGGAGTGAGTTCAAGACCACCCATGAGACTGACAAGGGCCAGATCAGAGATGGATGCTGTGGTTGATGTGCTCCTTCCTCCTCCCACTCCCCCTCCTCCACATGGCAGGCCAGACCTGGCTGAGCAGCTCCGTAGGTGTGCAGCAAAGCAGAAGCAGGAGGATGTGTTATTCTGGTTTATTCTGGTGGTAAGAACAAATGATCTCAAAATAACCTTTGCAAGTCAGACTTGATATCAGACTTGACAGCCCCAAATATGTTTCATTGCCTGACCTTAGCAGAAGTCAAAATTCACCTTTACTTCAGTGGGCATCACCTTGACTTCATGAAGCTGATGCCACATAACGCCACAGCAGATTTAACCTGGTAGTTCTTCATTTCCCAGTGACACACAGCATTTACATGTCAGCATGTCACCAGCAGCCTCCACATCTCACCCACAGCAGTACATGGCACACCGTAGAGGAATCCCGGGAGAAAACCCTGTGCTAGGTCCACCACATGAGCTGCTGAGGTAACAAGTGGGATGGCAGAAGCCATTCGCTCCCTTCTGGGAAAAGGAGCAGAGCTGGTTCTTAAAATGACAGGCAATACAACTCCAAGGTGGACTTAACCAGAGCCAGAAGCAATTTCCATCCATTGTGTACCTTTTCAGCTGTGTCTGGTGCTTCTTTCAAGTTGGGCCAGCTGGGCATGCCCACAGGAACTGGATGCCATTTCCCCATGCTGAGAAGTCCCCAGCTCTGCCGGAATGACGCAAGCCAGGCTGCCTGCAGCGTCAGCTCACGATTACCCAGAGGAGCAGGCGGGTTCTCCTGCAGTCACAGGAAATAGCTGCGGCACTGCTTCCCTTTGTGCGGCACCCATCTCCTGCTGACACATCCCAGAGGCACTGCGGCATTACTCACGCTGCCTGGCATTTCCTGGATGGGTTCTCACGGCCCAGCCTGCTGCCAGCGGGGAGAAAGGGAAGGAGCGGTCATGGCTCGGGCCGCATGGAAGCAGCCCATCAAGAAAGGCTTGTTTGGCACATGGCAGGTCAGCCTGCCTCAGGAGTGAGCTGGGTCCATGAGTTAAATGCTCCCCGTGAGTCAGGAGCTTAACCATTCATTACAGAGTTGTGTATATTCAAAAACTGCTTAAAAGCAGCAGGCACAAGCTGCTTCAAGCTGGTGTGGCCACACTTCCCATTTGCATTGTCACTTGATGGTTCCTCTGCTGCCTCCACAGCTCGTCTGTTCCCTAGCTGGCCTTGCAGGCTGAAAGTACAGCGGTGCAGTGTGGTGTGACATGGCACAGCATGGTGCAACATGGCATGGTGTGCCACAGTGCTGCCCCGAGAGATGCCCTCCCAGCCTGGTGCTCCCTTTCCTCCATCCCCAGCGGGAAATGGAGGATCCGCTGCATCTGTGGTTCTTGACATAAAGCAATCACTGAAGTGAGTGGATTTAAATATAGCCCTGAGAGAGCAGTGTGGTATGAGGTGGTGAGAGGTGAAGGCTGGAGATCTCTGGTGTCACCTTTGCTGAAGAGATGCCTCCTTAGCAATCCCGTCTGCAAGTCTCCTCATGTCTGTTGCATCTTCTTAACCTGGAAATGACTCTTGTCCTTCCCGTATCTGTGCAACACAAAGGAAACAGCAAGTGTCACATTCCTGCTTCATGATGACTTCACATCTGTGTCCTCCACTGACTGCCATGGGCACAGAACCTCTCTGGGTTCTCTGCAGGGCCTGGCGGTGCTCTGGTGGTGGCTGACCACCCTGAAAACATCTGTTACTTGAATATAGTGTCACTGGAGACAGTTCCTGCTGGCTGGGAGTTGATCTCACTGGGAGAACTCACTGCAGGGGAGAGCATGTATGTTGTCCTTGTCTAGTGACACAAGGCTGCCCTCATCCTGGCCTGAAGGTAAGCTGCAGAGAGAGGGGAAATGGGACCTTCATCTTCCACCTGGCTCAGGCTTTGCTCTGTGGGACAAGTGAAACTCCCAGCGATGGAGGGCATGGCCACAGTTAGCTTTGCTTTGTGGGAAGAGGTGAAACTCCCCTGTGATAGAGTCCCCATGGACTCTATGGCCACCAGCTTCTCCACAAATTGTGCAGAGGTGCCTGTTCCTTGGCAAGCAGGTCTGGCCACAGTGAACGTCAGAGTGTTCCTCTGAACCAATTTGGCCATGGGTTTCTCTATAATGCTGTGACTCAAAGGAAGGGAATCTTGAGGGGGAAACCAGGCAACCCATCCCCTGCCAACATTTGCCAAAAGAGCCAGAGCTAGCTGCTTTTGAGGTCCTTTTCCTAAAGATGACATTTGCTGGAGTAACCTATATGGAGACACTACTAAAGATAATCATAGAATCATAGAATGGCCTGGGTTGAAAAGGACCACAATGATCATCTAGTTTCAACCCCCCTGCTATGTGCAGAGTCACCAACCACCAGACCAGGCTGCCTAGAGCCACATCCAGCCTGGCCTTGAATGCCTCCAGGGACAGGTCATCCACAATCTAAATCACGTGTGGCTAACACAATGCTGAAGCTAATTTCGTGATATTCAGCTACTGTAATCTGCAAACAGAGCTCAGTGCTTGAAAGAGGCAGCAGCCTCCTTCCAGAGCCATTGGAGGCTGTAACAGGTACACACAATCAGGAGATCCCCTTGTTGCAGCCAAGGCACGTACACACTTCTGCTCTGTGCTTAGGAAGTGGCAGTGAGGATTATTATCACCATCATGTTGATCTTTATACAAACATCATAAAACATAAGATAAAAACATAACCATTAAATTGTCGGGCCTCGCCAGCCAGCTGTTGCTTGTAAGTGCCAAGCGATTCGTTTGCAAGGGGGGCCGTGGTGGCCCGCTGTCACAGAGCAGCCTACCAGAACAACAGAACAACTGGAGAAGTTCTCTCAATGCTTGCTGTGTGGCCCTCAGATACAGGACTCGGTAAACAAAACATCCTCTGTGAAATATATGATTGAGGCTCCTGCCACACGAGAGGGACCTCCTGAAAGGTTCCTTCGTGTGGAGCTGGAAAGATCAGGAGCACCAAAGCTTTAGAGACAGAACACTGCAGCAAATGTAAGCAAACTGCTTCAGAAGGGACTCTTCAGTCTTTGAATTCAGCTTTTAAATAAAACATTCATCCTGAGACTAAAAAAAGACAATACCTTTTGTGAGTAATAAAGCATAAAGCAATTTTTTTTTTTTTTTAGACGAGACAATTATTCAATATAAAATAAGCTGGCTTTTTTGATTTATTGAAAAGCCAAACTATGCTTTGCCTTAGGAAAACAACCCACCATACAGCTCTCTGCTTTGCAGATGCCTCAGAGGCAGGGATGCTGCTGTTCTGGTTGGGATTAGCATCTGTGTGGCGGTCGGCAGGAGGATGGTTTATGTCTCAGCTGCGGCACTTATTGGAGATGACGGGACAGAAGCTGCTGGTGAGCATCACTGCTGGGAACAGCGCTTTGCTGAGAAGTTCTGCCCTCAAAGTATGTATGAAGCATTTGGCTTTTAACAACTGTTTGCTGGCATATGTGGATGTAATTAGGTACATATCAATCAAAGTTAGTTGAATGTTTGAATTCAGTCTTGCAAATGAAACACCAGCATTTTGGTGTGTGCTCCTTGTGCATCCTCGGCAGTGACCTGCTCCCATTTGCTTCCCAGGGTCCCTGCTGGCCTCCCCACTAGTGGCACTGATGCGCTGCAGCATGGCACAACCCGGGTGAAGAGTTCACCACGCTGTGATGGAAGCTCTGAGCTCACTCTGCACCACACAGGATGACTTTTTGCACCACGCATCACCGGCAGCCTGCCTGCCCCAGAATGACTTCTCAACTGTCTCTGCCTTAGTACACGCTGATACACAACCTACTATAAGGCCTTAAAGCCCAAATTTTCCAAAATGGAAACCGTTTTCCATTCACATCATCTCCTGTGAGTTTTTCTAGAAGTCACACAGGACTTTTTGGGCCAAGTGCAAGGTGCTGCACAAATACAAACTGGGAGATGAATGAATTGAGGGCAGCCTAGCACTGAAGGGCTTGGGGGTTCTAGATGAAAAACTGGATGTGAGCCAGCAATGTGCACTTGCAGCCCAGAGGTATGGAACAGCTCTTCTGGGACACCGTGGAGCTGTGACACGTCAGCAGGCCCGTGACATCACAGGGTTCCCTCCTAAGTCATAAGAGTCCCAGGAGCACCTACAGTTCTGCTCCGCAGCTCGCGCCTGCCCGCAGCTTTCCGGACAATTTTTTACTTTCCCAAGTGCAAATAGCACTTGGGCACTGATGCAGTTTGTCACAGCCTGAGGATGTCTCTGCTCACTAGGTTTTTGGAAGACCACGAGTGGGATTTTAAGCAAATGGAGAGAATGATGCAGAGGCAGATGCAGCTGCTGGACCGGCACCTGCAGGAGCTGCGGGAGGAACTGCTGCCCTGCTGCCCCTGCAGCCACCTCCCACCACTGTCCTGCCTCTGCTCGTGGTCCTGCACAGCTCCCAGCCGGGCTGTGATGGCCGCACGGGAAGTGGAGCGAGACCTGGCCAGGTAATGGCTCCTGGGGCTGCAGCACAGCCTGGGCCAGCGGTCAGAGCGAGCCCCTGCAGGGGGGTGCAGGCTGACACCGGTGTGCATGGGAGGGACAAGGTTTGGGATTTCTAAATTTGGGGCCTAACCACTGTTGTGGTGGTTTCAAGGCCGTGAAAGGAGATGAAGATTGATGTCAGTACAGATAAATCCAAAAGGCAGCCCTGCAGGAAGGAATAAAACCTTTCAGCTTGAGCTGAGGCTTGGCCACGCCCTGAGGAACCAGGAGGGATGGGAGGTCCCCAGCCTTTTGTCACACACCGTGCCCCACTGGTCACTGCAGGCTCTAAGTGCTGATGCTGATTGGGCCACAAACGGTGCTGGGATCTCTGACTGCAGTGGCCATGCCTGTTTCCCCTCTTATGGCCCCGTTTCTTCTTTCACCAGGCACATTGTCCTCTTAGTTTGGTGCCTTCTGTCCTCTTCAGCTGCGGTAAGAGAGGCAACCCTTCTGTTGTGCATTCCATGCGTGGTTTGACCAAGAGCCTTGCTTCTGGTCAAGCAGACTTGCTATTTGACAGCAACAGAAATCATTTTAACAAGTCAGTGAGCCTCCAGACCAGCTCCACAGCAGAGTTTCTGTGATTTTTACCAGATGTGTCTCTTCTCCCCTTCTCCTAACTAGAATGCGATCTATTGCAACCACCCATTTGCAACATAGGACAATGCATAACATGGGCACACACAACAGAGAAGGCATGAAAAAGAGCACTGGGCTTTGTGTTGAAGTGAAAAAAATCTCAAATTCCCAGCTGTTCCACCCCAAGAGGACACACTGAAATGTGCCCAACCACCAATACCTGCAGATGAGGCCAACACTGTCGCATGTACTGTATTTGAAGATGGAGCAAATGGTTTATATTTGCTTCTTTTGAGCTCATAGTGATCCACCCATTCCTTCGTGAGCTGGACTGAAGTGCTCTCTTCTTGTTTTTATTGCAGTGTACGGAGAAAACTGAACAAGATGTGCAATTCTTTCCAAAACCGCAAGGTTTTAGCAATGATGGATGTGAAGGGTTTTGACCCAGAGGAGGTCACTGTGACGGTGAAGGACAGGAAGGTCCAGGTGCTGGCGGAGCACGAGGAGGCCCACACCACCACACGAGGGAAGGAATATAACTACAAAAAAGTCAGGAAGGAGATCACCTTGCCACCCGGGGTGAGCGAAGACGAGGTGATGTACTCTCTAGGGCCAAACAGTGTTGTGAAGATTGAAACAGCACAGCGACACTGCCCTCGTCTCCTGAGGCTCTGAGCTCCTGAGGCGCAGCTGGGCGGGCTGTGCTGAGTAGTTCCTCTGCTCCTTTATGTTGATCCATAGGTACTACCAACTCTCCTTGCTATTCCCAAAACAAAACAGCATTCAAAAAAAAAAAAAAAGTGTATGACCCTCATTTTAAAGGATTTTGGTGATCAAAAAGGGGGGAGTACCAAGAGGAAAACTCACAGGTACAGGTGAATATTTGGCTGGGGTCATTGCTGGAGACAGCATGATTTAAAGTGGGCATTGCTGCTGCTTGTAATCTTGAGGATTTCAAAAGCCAAATGAAACCATTGATAAGTCGTGTTTCTATAATAGGGGCACTGCTCTCCATCCCATCACTTCTGTTTGAGCTGTTTGATATTTTCTAGGGCTCAACAGAAATCACCTCAAGGGAAGGAGACTCCTTCCAAGGCAGCACCATGGGCTAGCCTGCTAGTGAAGAATTGTCCCAGCTCTTTGGAATGTGGTGTGTCTTGATTTCTTCTCTACATTTGTCTGCATTTTCCTAGATCTCACCTGTCATTCCCTGTGAGATGCCACCTCTAGCAAAAGTCTCCTCACTCTGTTAGTGAATCACTTCTTCACCCTTATGGAGAGGAACACCAGCAGAGCTTTCTCCTCTTTCCCACAGAGCTAGTGGGTTTCCAATATTATTTAATTATAGTTAGAGAGGAAAATGCCTCTGGGCACTGGAACTGCACATGTTGTAGTAGTATGGCTTCACAATGTCCCATGTTTTCTCACAGAACAGTTCCTCTGGACCAGCTCTGTCTCTTGGAAAAATTCATAGGAGGCCACCAGAGCTGTGTGCTGGTTAGGTGGTGAGAATAGGCCATCCCAGTCCACGTGGGGCTGCAGCACGATGAGGTGCTGCTGTGGGAGCAGCAGACAGGAGCCCTGCAAAGTTAGCTTTCCCTTAGAAATAGCAAAAAAAAAAAAAAAAAAAACACAAGCAGTACCATTTGTCCGCTCAATTTGGCTCTTACAGATTTTGCACTACTAGGAAGAGCCTCATTGGATGGACAGAGGGTTTTAATTTAGAAGGTGTTGAAAATGTTGCAGAGCATTTCCCAGCAGATGAGTGCTGTAGCATGGGTCAGAATCAATAGCTCAGGATGTTTACAGCTGGGAGGGAGTGAATTGTCTGAACTTTCTTCAGCTGTACCGAATGGTGTCATTTGCTGCCATTTGGGCCAGGCTGGAAAAGTCAGCAGTGCTGTGGCCTCTCTCCAGAATCCTCACAGAACAGCTCCATCAGCCATATGTCCCAGCAAGAGGCTGAGGATGGGTTTGGCTGGAGCCAGCTGGGTAACTCAATTCAGTGCAAGATGTGCTGATTTGGGCAGGTTCAGCATCCAAGAAATCTTAAATATCTGGTATAAACTTCAAGCTTTATGGGCTTGGAGTGTATCTGGTCTGCATGTACAGGTAGCCCACTTTTCCTGGTGTTGTTGGAAGACATCTAGAAATGTGCCTTGACCCTGCAAGGAGGTACCTGGGAGACTCCTACTCTCACCAAGATGGGGAGATCATGGTTCTATTGACAGATGTTATCCCTACATTTCAAGACCAGAAGGCACTATCAGATCACGTGTCCTCACCTTTATACCACAAATCAGCAGGCAAAGTGTCACTTCCAGAGCAGAATCTAGTCTTGATGTGAAGACTTCAGGTGACAGACTCCAGCACTTCTCTTGTATTTTGTTCCAATGACTAATTCCCTTGTAATTAAATGTCATGCCTGGTTACTAGCATGAGAATGTCTGGCATCATCAGTTCATGAAATGCTCAGAGGAGGATGCTATTAAAGCAAGATGTAGGAAAAAAAGTGTTTTCTCACAGAAATGAACCACAAACAGTCATTTTTTCCTACTGATAGGGCTTTTAGTGCTTAAAGTCATAGATGACTCGGAGACTGGGAGGTATGTATTGCTTTGGTTTAGTTTATTTTTCTTATTTCTGTTCTTTTTATGGAACTTCGTGACAACTGTATAAGTGTCCTTTTTCACTTACCTGTGCCTGAAGAGCAGAATAAGTATTTTCAGCACAAACATGCCCCATCCTGATAAATGTTTTGAGAGTTATCTTATGTATTTTCTTCTGATGTAAAGTAAATGGAAGTCATGCACTGTTTTTGACAGCTGATAATGACAGATCTATTTATTTATCTATCTATCTATCTATCTATTTATTTATTTATTTATTTATTTATTTATTTATTTATTTATTTTTGGTGGAAGATTAATCTGCTCTATTTTGTTTCCCATTCAGAAAATAGCCACGCATGTGCTATTAGCAGGGACATGGCTAACTAGGTGGTTGTGTGGATGGCAAAGGAGGTGTTTGCCTTCCCCTAGCACATACACTGTACTGGCAGGAGGGAGCTGAACAAACAGCATCTCCAGCTTGTAGGTGTATCTGCCCTTAGACTCAAACTCTGTAATAGCATATTTGATTTTGTCCCTGCCTTTAGTAGGTGCAAAGGCTCAGACTGAACAAGCCTAACAGCAGCATTTAAATGACTGTTATTTCCATGTAACCTGTAGAAATGTCATTTTTCTTTGCTGTTCACTGTTTGCCATTATTTTACCCAAGATGCAAGCTTGCTATTGTACTACTGGAATTGCTGCATTCAGTTCTGAGGCTCCCAGCATAAGGACATGAACCTGTCCAGGGGGTCAAGGGGAAGGACACAAGGATATTTTTCTTTTCCTATGAAGAAAGGTTGATGGAGCTAGGCTTGTTCAACCTGGAGAAGAGAAGGCTCCAGAGAAACTTTATGGTGGCCTTTCAGTACCTAAAGGGGGCCCTATAGGCTCTGCAGCTGAAGATGAACATTTTATCAGGGAGTGTAGTTATAGAACAAGGTGTAGCTGTTTTAATGTAAGAGAGGAAAGATTTATAATAGATATAAGGAAGAAATTATTTGCTAAAAGTGTGATGAGGCACTAGAGCAGGCTGTCCAGAGACGCTGTGGAGCCCCATCCCTATAGGTGAGGGAATAGCCTCAGTTTGTGCCAGGGGAGGTTCAGCTTGGATATTAGGAAAAAACTTGGAAAGAGTGGTGAGGCATTGGAACAAGCTGCCCAGGGAGGCAGTGAAGTCTCCGTCCCTGGAGTGTTCGAGAAATGTAGAGTTGTGATACTGAGGGATATGGTTTAGTTAACAATACTACTGGTAGCTGGTTGGACTAGATGATATTAGAGGTCTTTTCCAACCTTGAAGATTCT